TCTACCAGCGGAGGGAAGCTAGCTGACAAGGAGACGAGTCTCTTCGTACGACTAGAGACGCTGTGATCCGGAACCGGAAGTCGGCTTGTTGTCCTTATTAATGACTCCACTACTGCTAAAAGCAAAGATATCATCTGCTTCAGTTTCTGGTGCTCAAACCCTTAGGAGATTGTTGTTTTATGGTCTCCTCATGCGGAGCTGCCATTCAGAGCACACCTGGGTGATCTCCGGTTCTCTCCTCCAGAGAGCTTCAAAGGACCAGTCTGCTTGCTGGTATTTCATTCTACACCATCGTCATCTGCTCATTTTCAGAGACGTCTTCAGTCCACCATGACTCACAGTGGAAGCCCCATTTCAATGTTCCCTTTTGAGCCTTTCGTCATTCCCATATTGCTGCTATAGGTAGCCTTTAACTTATTATCATAATGAAGCCAAGAATTTCTGTCAAAAGTCATGATGGTCATAAGTCAAGGCACCCACCTAACCAGACCCAAACTTCTAACTTTTTTTTGTGGTGAATACCACAGTCCAGTTTTCAAACTATGTCAATACTCACTTAAATGCAAAAAGGACATCTCACTGAAAAATGCATACCATTCACAGAAAAAAATAATCACAATCAAGTTGTAAGCCTTTTTGGTTATTCAAACATATTGGGACACATTGGGCTTAACATGCTGTTGGAGAGTTTTCTTTGAAAACCAAGAGGAGTTTAGCAGCAAGGAATCTAAAACTGTTTAGGGAGTCATGATGAGCAGTGACAGGGATGTAAACAGCTCTGAGATTTTGTCTTTTATAGTTAACTATTAAATCCTCCTAGCATATTTGTGAGAATAAAACAAACCCCTTTAAGAGGAGTAGAATAGCAAAGAAAGGTGGATTGGTTTGCATTGATGTTTTTCTGGAAATTAAATTAATATGCAATAATAAAGGAATGAAAGATTCTAGGAAATATGCATAAAGTATCCAAATAGGGAACAGCTTTGTATCAAAATTGTTTTCCCCCGTTCATCATTGAATGAATGAAGGAAATACTTAATGAAAATAATCCAGTTCATATTCATTTATTACATTTGATCACCGAGGCCAATATTGTTTATATCTTCTTAGCTGAAAAAGAAAAAAAAAACCTCTTACATTCCATAAACTAATCATGTCTAGCCAGAACAGTGTGTGTGTGTGTGTCTGCGTGCGCACGCGCACGCACGCACGTTTCCATAGGCTGTAAGCAGAATGATAAATGTATTGATATAAGTAGAATTATGGAAAAGGAAGTCATATGACCCTCACACTAACCCTATTTAAATGAGCCCTTAAATCTGTAAACCACCCAGAATCATCACTTGTCTAAATTTGGTAATTAATTAAAAGTAAATAAAACCTGGCTCCCCTCCCCAATAACTTGGAGTAGTGTCATTTGTAGACCCCAAGTAGGATGTTTGTTTGGGTAGTAATTATACTCCACTTACAATTGTTTGTTTCATATGGTTTCTGCATTATTTTATTATTGTTGTTTCATATTGTGTGGCATCCAGAATTGAAACAGAGGCAAGCAGTTCTGAAAATGCAATAAATAAATGAATAAATAAATCTGGTGAGTACTTGATGGTGCAATCTGTTCTACTTTGCTTTGTTCTTTTGTCTACTCTGACATACAAACACTAGAGTAATGGCTGGCTACATGTTCCCTAAAATTATGAAACCGATGCTTGTTTCATTCTGTTGTGTGATAGCCTGTTTGTGGTTCCAGGAAAGATGGTGACATACATGAATATATTCTCATTTTCAAAAAGCCCCAACAATAAATACAAGTAAAAACAGATGAGGATTTTTTTTTTATCCACAAGGTGTATGGCAAGAGTAAAAGTCTGAAAAAATGACTTCCTTGAAAGATTGCCTTCAAGAAACAAGTTTTTTCAAATCTTGATGGATGCTCAGATGTACGTAATTCCAGTTACTAGGCATGAAAGAAAAAAATGGAGCTGAAAATACTGATATAACACTTCCATAACTTTAATGAAATATGCTTGTTTACTCCCCACTTACAAACTCAGTGTAAGTGCAGTCTAAAGAAGCACAGATCTGTTGCAGAGAGCATGGAAATCAGTTCCAATGTAAAAGGACTCATTTTTATTGCATTTTTCCTCTGGCTGTGTGATTAAATTAAATTCAGATATGTGTTTCAGAGTATTTTATAAAATGTGTGCTGTCAAAGACAACTGCACTTTCCTGCACTTGAAAAGAGCAGAGGTATAGTGAATAAGGTGTTGAATTGTGACTGGGAAGACCCAGGGTCATGTCTAGCATTAGCTATGTAAACACTCTGGGTAACTCTGGTAAAAAGAGAATAAAACTAACAGGGAATAAAGGGAATAAAACTAATAAATAAATAAATAGAACAAGCAGAAAGAGACACTAATAAGGACAATAACTCCATATAATCAAGACCAAAATAGCTAATGGGGAGTAAAATTTAGAGAACCAAAACACTGTAGTTTAAAAGAATCGTATCCTATTATCTCTGATGCTTTATCAGAAGAAACATTGTCAAATATTTCACCCGCGAATTACAGTACTGAATATATTTACATATCAATATTTTTGAAGAGGATATTAAACTGAAGTATTTAAAAATTATTCTGAGAAAAAGATGAAATTGCCCAATTGTGTGGAGAAAGGAGGTAAGATATATGGAGAGTTTTACATTTGACTGTTTTAAATTTCTTTTTTAGTTATTTAATAAAGCATATTGCTTTGGAAAACTATTGGAAGAAGCTAAGGGGCTGAAGTGGTGAAGGATAAAAAATATTTCTTCACTTCCATAACTACTGTAGAATAAGCTTGATATACTGTAGAAATCATTACTAAGATATAATCAGATTCGAGAGGAGTTTTTCTCCACCTGTTTTCTAATCATCTTCTGATGTGCTTCACTGCTCTCATCTGAGGTGTATTTCAAGGAGCCAGTGGGCTCGGCACAATTTATTTATTTACTGAAATTTGTATGTTTTCCCAGTCAAGGGCTCTGGACACCTCATAGATACGTGAATTCCAAAATCAACTGTCAGTAACAATTCTACAGTAAAACAGAACATTCACACAAGTATAAATGAGACATAAGAGTTAGCAGTCCCAGTGTAGCAGTCCCTTGCATAAATCAGTATCTTTACTACCTTTTGGAAGATTAAAGAGAGAGAAGGCCAACTTGACATTGGGAGGCAAGTTGTTCCATATGGCTAGAGAAAGTGTTCGGGAATAATCAAATCAGCTACCTGGGACATTTCCTCATTTCACAAAGTAACATAGGACCAATGTTTTCTGGAATCCATTGGCAACTATTAGTCTCCAAGCAAGAATCATCAACTACAAATTTACAAAATAACCGTTTCAAATGTTGTTTTCAAACTGAATGTTACATTAAACAATTTCTTTAAAAAATAGTGAATGTGGACTTGTAGGAGAAATCTCCCTCACAATTTTCCCCCAATTTGTCTACACCAGAGATCAGCTCACAATTATGTAGAAACAAATATTGCTTACTATGATATGCGAAGCAACCACTTTCCCTAATGCAGTTGATTGAAAAACAGGCAGACAGACCAACTGGTCAAGAAAAAGTCTTCTGATATTACTGAAGTGAACTGAGAAGAATGACTTAGGATAATACACTTCCCTTTCTACTCTCTTTTCATGTATTCCTCAAGGGTCTTGAAATTCATATGATGGGTGAATATGTGTATAAAAATGCTCTGTAGAATTTATCAGAACCAAAAGGCTGTGGACCATTTCTCTGTGAAGTGAGAGGAGATTCTTGTTTAGTGACTTCACCCTGTAGGACAAAGAAGATAATAGGAGCTAGCAAAAGGCATGTAAAAAACAAAGAGCACTAAATAGAACGAACAACCACCTACTTTTCACTGAATCACAGCACTGATATACAGTTCCCTGGGCTGAAAGGTAGCCATTTCATGTGCATTCAAGTGAGTCTCAAAGGAATACTGTAAACTCTCTAATGTAAAAATGTATCTGCCTGCTGTAGCACCCGTCTTTCGGTTCTAACTCTCAAACCTAGTTTAATGTACAGTTTAATACAGGGGTCCCCAAACCCTGGGCCTCGGCCCGTTACCGGGCCGTGGCCTATTTGCAACAGGGCTGCGAGAGCCGCAGACTAGCGCACAAATGTGCGCATAATTTGACTCATGTAGATGGTGAGCTGGCATGCAGATGCATGCATACACAGCTCAACTAGTTGAGCTGCATGTGCTTCCATGTGTGCACTAGCCGACCCCTCGTGCAAGTTGAGCTGTGCCCGCGAATGTGTCCCAACACGCTGCTCATGTGGCCCAGTTTCCCTCTACCCTTTCAGCCAAGCCGCAAAGGTTGGGGACCGCTAGTTTAATAGATTCAACTGGAACTCCTGTTACAAATTTCATTGACAGCCATGAATTCAGTGACTGTCCTAAGAATGGTGTTTTTTCTTTCTGCTTTAGCCTTTACTGTCCTGTCTTCAAGTGATATGAACTATCATGAATAGAATGTCTTATAGACATAATGCAAAAATCCATTATCAATTTTTAAGCAATAATAGAGATAAATAACATATTTAATTGTCTGCCTTTATTTGAAATACAGTTTTCAGATACTTGCAAATTGGAGGATTATGGTGCTGCTAGTCAGATATCCATTCTCAGAGAAACATGGTAAATTTCATTTTTAAGCAAAGCAAAAACTTTCCAGTTAAATAAAAAAGCTTTTATGTGGCATCATAATACTAATCTAAATGTTTCAGTCTAGAGGACAAATAAAACAAATCCATTATATAGTATGTTTATACAGGAACTGATGCAAACATCTTAAAATATGTTGGCAATTTTTAACCCTATAGATTAAAGCAGCTTTCTTTGGAAACTCTGATTTTGGTGAAATGTAGCAGGCCAATACTTTTTGCTAAAAAAAAAAAAAACACACACACACCAACCTTCTAAACTTTTCTTTGTCAGGGTGTGGACATTGTAAGAAAATGAAGCCAGAATATGAGAAAGCCGCAGAGATACTCCATGCAGACAATAATGTAAGCTAATTTCCTTTCCATTTTCAAATGATACATAATAAGTAACTGAAATAATAAAAATGTTCTTGTTGCAATTATTTCATCTTCCCAAGGGTTTGCAAAAAAGATAATTTCAAAGTATAATCTCACTGGTAATGCATGAGTTATGCCAAAATTATTAGGAAGAACATTGTGTGTTTAAACACAAACAGAAAAAAACATGTTATATTCAGCCATTGAACCTTCTGTTGTGCATAATATGAGAAACCTCAAATGTACCAGACTTCTTTGTTTCCTCTATTAATTACAAATTTCAGGTTTAATGTAAAAAAATTGAGAAAACAATGGCTTGGATTTTTGCCATTTACAGGTGTGCTAATAAGAACCTTTCCACTTTAAGCATTTAAGTTTTCATTTCAATGTATGTGTATCTAGAAGATCAATTATGCTGATTAGTCGTGTCTTAAGTAGGAACAGCTCTTCACTTAGGCACTTAATACCTTTTTCATGTTATCTTAAACCTCTCTTTCTCTAATGGTTCAAGGGCTTGAGACAGAAAGTGGATAGAATTTGGGATTTCAATATTTGAGACAACTCCCTTGTGCATTTGTCAATCCAAGCATGTATGGAACTTATTCCACATTATATATAATGCATAGTTTCTTACTGAGTGCTGTTTATTGTATTTTAGCTACATTTTATTACTGTTAAATTGGATTATTTTATTATTTTTTAAATTTCTCTTGACTTGATTAATTGATTTAAAGCTTCATAAGATTTGTGATAAATTTTGCAATTCTGGAAAAGACCATCAGGAAAGGTCTTCTCTTCAAATGGCATTTATGTAAGCATGTGTATGTAAAATTACTTTAACCAAAGCCCAAGAACCCATCATTATACAAGTTCTTCAGGCTTGATCACTACTATTAGCTGTGAACTATTCACCAGCTTAATGTTTATTTCTTGGTACTATTTTTTCCCTTCCCTTGACAGCATTAAATTAAATACTGTAATTAAACAAATGTTTTGTTAATTGGTTGGACATTTTCAGAAGGATTATCCTTGAGTGGATAATGGGTTTGTCATAACAAAACTTGTAAAACTCTCCAGAGTTGGTGATGATGAAAGATTCCAAAGCATTTGTATTGCCTTTCTAAAGTTATTGTAAATTGTAGATAACTACTCTGTAAGTTCAGAGTCTCCATTTATGTGCATTGTTCACAACTTAGGATATACTATTACAGGCATTGCTTTATATTGCAGAAACCAGGTGTTTTGGCAGCAGTAGATGCAACTGTCAGCAAAGCTGTGGCAGAAAAATTTCACATATCAGGATTTCCAACCCTCAAGTTCTTTCAGGATGGAGAAGAGAAATACACCTTGCCTCACCTCCGTACAAAGAGTAAAATTGTGGAATGGGTGCTAAAGTAAGTGATCTCAACAATGAAATATTTGGAAATAATCAAGTTGTTCCTAGTTACTATTTTGGAAGTCTGAAAACATAGCATAGGCTTGCTTGTTCTTCCAGTCTAGTTCCTGTAATTTGCACAGATCAGAGTATTGCTCTGAAACTTGAAATCAGTTCTCACTTCAGACTATAGTATTGATCTGGTGATGATTTGGATATAAACTATGGACAGTACAGTGCAAATAAACAGGGAAGGAGTGACCATTCAACTCCAACATGCATTTGTGATGCTCCAGACCGACCTGCAAAATTCATGTGTGAAGCAAATCATTTCATCTGCATATGTTCCCAAGTAGACATATATTAAAAATGCACTTTGTCAAGGATGAGGTATTTGCCAGGAAGGGGAACTGAAACTGTTGACCAGGAAACATGAAAACTGCTGTCTATCCATAAATAGTACTCTTACTAGGTGATACTACCAACACCTGGCATCAAGAAGTCTGTCCTGTTGTTACTCAGAACAGCAAGACACCTGTTTTCTGAATGGCCATATCTCCAAGGCAACTTCTGTGCAGTATTGCTCATGATATTTTTCAGAAACAAAGATATGTTTATGATTTCAAAAAAGTTGACCACCAATGTCTTTGGTCATAAAAGCCATATACCTCTAGATTGGATTAATGAGCTATCAATTATTTTGTTTTGAATTAGGTTAAAAAAATCTTTATCCCAAGCCCCTAATTTGGGGAATTGTAGACAAATATTGTGAGCTGAGCCTCAAGGTATGTAGAAAGATGCAATTCAAGAATATGGTATTTATACTAGCGTTCTTGTTAATATTTGGTACAGTACCATAGTAGCATTCTAGTTGAATATTCATAATTAAAGTTGTTAATCAACCAGGAGCAAATTGTACCCTTTTAAGAAAATGGTAAATTTATGGATTAAAATTGTTTATTATGTACAACTGGGTCACTTACATAGAAGAATATACAAGTGCCATTTTGGAAGAAGTTATTAATTCTTAATCTCAAAAAGGTTTTAATTAATAGTATTTGGCTGCTTTATTAGTTGTACCTCTTGAAAACCAGTTTAATTAATTTGGCATCATACTAGCTTTATGCAAGAATTTAGAGCATAAAACCTCAATGCTAATACCTTGCCTGTATTAGTTCAGCTAGGTTTCCATGGAAAGCCTGTTTGTCACAGAACAGGTAATGGAAGAGCTGTTGTTGGATTGCTCCCAGGGCTGAGCTGTAAATAGGATGGAAAATTTGTTATTTTGGACTATTAACACAGTATTCAAATTACATTCGTATCTCAATCTGCTTATATAAACTCACTGTATTTCCTAATGTAACAAAGATAGAAGCCAACAAAAGGAGGTATTGGAATAATAAAAGAAAAGACTAAATCTTTTTTTCAATACACATCCTGTTTTTCACTTTCATAAGGTAACATCATTATCATAACTTAACTAGGTTAATGTTTGCTTTTGAAATAGCTTTTTAGGCACTGCAGTTCCACTTATTACTATTTGGTGTATGATGACACCATGGCAGAACAAAAGTAAACATATATACACAGTCCACATAATTATAAGTAAAACTTTTATAAGGGCATGGCAGTGCCGTCATAACTGGTTGTCCAATTCAGCTATCCAGGCGGTGATCACCTATGGCATTGCTTCATGCAGATTTTCTAGGGAACCAGAGAATGCACGCTGTGAGCAGTCTTGCACAATATATTTAATAGTTTGCATATCAGCGTCACAATTGCAGCAAGAGAGTTATTTATATTTATTTATTTATGAGACTTATATACCGCTTTAAGTGCAAGCACTCTCTAAGCAGTGTACACCAGTAAGCAATGTATGTATATATTTACATTGCCCCCAGCAATCTGGATCCTCATTTTACCTACCCCGGAAGGATGGAAGGCTGAGTCAACCTTGAGCCGGTGAAATTTGAACTGCTGACCTGCTGAACACAGTCAGCTAAAGTGGCCTGCAGTACTGCACTCTAACTGCTGTGCCACCTCGGCTCTATTGCCATTGATACTTCTTAATTATTAATGAATTAATAATAGATAACATTAATTATCTGCCAGCTTAACACTACAGTTAGGCTATCAAGATAAACTAGAGCTCTTCATAATGAGAGCTAGCCTTAACAACTCTCATTTTGATGGATTGGTACCCAAAAGAGTACAATTAGCCCTATTTTTACTTGAAATGACCCTAACCCAAGAGTCCTAACTCAAGGCTCGTTCCCACAAGACATGCTTATGCTTGAGTTTGATTTGTTAGATTAACTGTGATCAGTTAAAAAAACAAACAAAAAACTTCCAGGCTCTTATGCCCATTATGGAGGAATAGGAAATGTACAATCTTGTCTCTGGGTAATAATTCCTAGTTTACCTTGATATCTGAACTAATTGTGCTCCCTGAAATAGAATATATAATTAAAATATATTATGGATGCACATTTGGAACAAATATATACTATAGGCCCCTGCTTACAAAAATGTTGCAATGTGTTCTTTTTTCTCTCTTCAGTCCTCAGGCACCTCCTCCACCTGAACCAACTTGGGAAGAAAAGCAAACAAGTGTTATCCATCTTGCAGGTGAAGACTTCCGAGAATTTTTGAAGAAAAAGAAGCACACTCTCGTAATGTTTTATGCTCCATGTAAGTGGATGTTGTACTATAAAATATTGAACATTCATCTATATTGAATATCAGCAGAAAGAGAAATGGTTTTCTAGTGTTTTTGAATTAGCTAAGCGTGGTTTAATTATTTTGTTCAGTTGGAACCACAGCTGGGTGGCAGAGCACACCTCTTTCATTAGAATATCTTGGGTTACTCTTCTACTTTCTGACAATGCAGCAGCAAAGGGCAAAAGGAACAACGTCATGACTTTGGAGCAAGGATGCTTTGCACTGCATTATTTGCAACAAAAAGCACTTGAACCCAATCTCAACAATGCGGCTGAAAGCAGTCAGCACGTGGCTTTTGTCAATGTTAATACTAACCAGTTAACCAAAGCAGTATAGATAACTCCCTCCCCCCACAGGTCATCACATGTTGGGTTCTGCAGGATGTCCTGAAGATGATCTCAGAGATCAAGAAGCAGTAAATTAAACTATATGAGTATACTGAAACTAAAAAAGAAGAAGAAGAAAACAAAAGACAATTAAACTAAAATGGAAGGTGGGATTGCTTACCGGCACCAGCAATAATAAAAACAATAGGAGCAATGAGCCACAATCCTCATCCTGCTTAGACTGCCTCCCACAAGCAGCAACCAAATGACTGGAATGACTCCCGAGAGTGGCTGTCTAAAGGCCTGCTGCTTACGGTAATTCCAAGACCACTTCAGATCACCTCACCCAGCTAAGCTGATAGATAGCAGCAGGAATATGACTGGTAGCTAATGAAGGTATTTATTTTGGATATAAGCTGAAGATGAAATGTTTGTTCTCTACAGTAAGAAAGGATTCATATTTCAAGAATAGGACTTCTGGGGTATTTTAAAATAGGTGCAACAATGGTTTTGATAGAGATGTCCACTTAACTTCTGTACTCCTGTGGTGTATAATGCTGCCTCCTTGAAATAATGGATAGCTTAATCCTCACTTAGTAAAAGGTAAATAAATACTTGTTTAACTTCTATCATTTCATTAGTTTATAAAGGTTAGATTGGGTACTCCACAGACTCAAGTTTATGGTTTTCGCTCTGATATATCTGAAATAAGCATATTAGGGCTGTGCATCTCCTTAATTATAGTTGGACTGTTTTAAGAAAAATGCGTATTAATAGTCTTACCCTATAATAAGGATAGGTTACAGTTACTACCAAAAAGGAGTTATTAGCTGACTTCTGAATCACATTTAGTCACATCTATACTTTTAATTACAGCCGCAAAATATTTAAACAAGTTTCTTTAATAATTTCTTGCACTCAAAGGCACTATTTCTTCAGTTTTATTTTAGATGAGTGTGTACATATGTGCTGTATCTTTGATATATATATAATACACTCATATTCAGTAGCTTTTTTCTTAATCAAACACTGTAGGGAATCACATCTCAGCTTGCAGTGAGATAATTATAAAGAAAAACAGAAGTACAAATAATTGCGCATTGAAATTGCTCTCCTTGTGTACTAATAATGTGCCTTCTGTTAAAATATGATTTTATTTATCATTTGTTCAATCATGGGACTTCTTGGAGTGTTTATTCCTACCATTTATTACTAACTTGATTTGCTTTAATACAGAAGAACTGCTAACATTGCCATGGTATTTTGGTTTAAATAATTTTCTTTCTCAACTCTGAACCACGTCCAACATTAGTGAAGCTTGTTAACTGAAACTTTCTTACTGTGTTCATCAGAGACCTAGAAACATCTTATGTGATTAGGTTTGTTTGTAGATTGGAACAGTTCAGTTCAACTCAGTACTTTTTAAAGTACTTTTTTAAAGATTGCATTTGGTTTAAGCAAAGCATCTTTGCAGATATTACATTATCTGCTACATCTTCATAAATCAATACTGGGAACCCAGAAAACCTGTAGGAAACTATTTCATAAATAGTTTTCTTTCATTTTTCAGATTGCAGAAGTAGTACCTGCAAACTTCTTCTCTGAGACTTTGCAAACAAATGTTGCTGCATAGAGGTCAGGATTTTAACTGATCCTTTTCTCTCCCTACTCTTCAATAGCTTGAGAGTATCCATCCTTCTAAAGTTGATGGGTTTATTCTTATCAGCTGGCCATATTCTTAGATTGCATGGTGAATTTTGCTCCTGAGTTTGTTTTGGTTTTGAGAGAGTAGGAGATCAGATAAGATACACCAGGGTGGCTATATTAGAATATTGTGCTCTCTCATTGCTTTCTGTGGATATTTAAAAATACCTTCTTGGTATGAATTACTATACCAGCCTATTCATATAATGGGTTAGTTCGTGTCTTCCTCTCTCTCTTCCTTTTTCTACACAACACTCTTAATCACTGTACCATATCCCTCTCTTTCAAACAACTAGATGTGAATCATTATAGTATAGGAGTTAATACTAGGAAAGATATGAAGTCTGAAGAGCAAGACTTCAAAATAGCATAGGTTGTATCTTGCTCAATAGTAGCAACTGTGAAAGGGATCTTGGAGTCCTCATGGACAATCACTTAAATATGAGCCAGCAGTGTGCTGCAGCTGCCAAAAAAGCCAACATAGGGCTAGGCTGCATTAACAGAGGGATAGAATCAAGATCACATGAAGTGTTAATACCACTTTACAATGCCTTGGTAAGGCCACACCTGGAATACTGCATCCAGTTTTGGTCACCATGATGTGAAAAAGATGTTGAGACTCTAGAAAGTAAAGTACAGAGAAGAGCAACAAAGATGATCAGAGGACTGGAGGCTAAAACATATAAAGAATGGTTGCTGCAGTTGGGTATGAAGAGAAGGACAAGGGGTGATATAGCAGTGTTCCAATATCTCAGGGGTTGCCACAAAGAAGAGGGAGTCAAGCTATTCTCCAAAGCGCCTGAAGGCAGGACAAGAAGCAACAGATGGAAACTAATCAAAGAGAGAAACAACCTAGAACTAAGGAGAAATTTCCTGACAGAACAATTAATCAGTGGAACAACCTGCCTCTAGAAGCTGTGAATGCTCCAACACTGGAAGTTTTTAAGAAGAGACTGGACAGCGATTTGTCTGAAATCGTATAGGTTTCCTGCCTGAGCAGGGTGTTGGACTAGATAACCTCCAACAACAACAACATCATCATCATCATCATCATTATTATTAATCATCGCACGGTCAGACAGATGTTCAGACTGGATTTGGCATTTTTGTCTACCTATCGAGTCCTTACCAAGGACCTGGGATAGGCAGATGTGGATGATTGATGGTATTACAGAATTATTATTATTATTATTATTATTATTATTATTATTATTATTATTATTGATCATCGCACAGTCAGCCAGATGTTCAGACTGGATTTGGCATTTTGTCTACCTATCGAGTCCTTACCCAGGACCTGGGATAGGCAGATGTGGATGTTTGATGATATTACAGGTATCGTCGCAGGATGGAAGCAGTTCCTAGTAAGGCCGCCTTTTGCAATTGACTAATAGCGAATTTGTCAATGTCAATGGTGTTCAAGTGGTGCTCCAGTTGTTCTGGGATTGCACCCAAGGAGCCTATTACTATTGGTACTACCCTTGCTTGCTTTTGCCACAGTCTTCTTATTTCTATTTGTAGGTCTTTGTATTTTGTTATCTTCTCCAGTTCTTTCTCATCTATTCTGCTGTCTCCAAGTACTGCCACGTCCACTATCCAGACTTTTTTGTCTTTCTTATCGACAATTGTTAAGTCTGGGGTGTTATGTTGCAGGTGCTTGTCTGTTTGAATTCTGAAGTCCCAGAGCAGTTTAATTGTATCATTTTCTATGACTTTCTCAATTTTATGATCCCACCAGTTCTTGCTTACAGGCAAATGATATTTTTTTGCAGATCTTCCAATGCATCATTGTTGCTACTTTGTCATGCCGCTGCTTGTAGTCAGTCTGTGCAATCTTCTTGCAACAGCTTACCAGGTGGTCCATTGTTTCTTCAGCTTCTTTGCATAGGCGGCACTTACTGTCTGTTGCTCTCTTCTCAATTTTGACTTTATATGCATTTGTCCTTAAGGCTTGGTCTTGTGCAGCCAGAATTAGTCCCTCGGTCTCCTTCTTCAATTTTCCTGATCTTAGCCATTGCCAGGTCTTATTATTATCTGCTTTCCCAGCTATTTTTTTAATGTATTGGCCATGTAGTGCTTTGTCTTCCCATGCCTCTATTCTGTTCTTCATTTGGTCTTTCTTGTAGGCCAGTTTGGTCTCTCCAGTAGTTAGTAAGCCTTCCTGATATACTAATTTCAGTGCATCTTCATCATTGTTCTTCAGATATTCTTCCAAAGCCATTTTTTCTTCTTCAACCATCTGATGTACTTGTAGCATTCCACGCCCACCTATTTGCCTTGGTAGATAAAGTCTATCAATGTCACTGCGTGGATGAAGGGCATGATTCATTGTCATTATTTTTCTGGTCTTCCTATCCATTGCTTTTAGTTCTGCTTGAGTCCAGTCCACTATTCCAGCTGTGTACCTAATGACTGGGATTGCCCAGGTGTTGATTGCCTTTATGGTATTTCCTCCATTGAGTTTGGACTTTAAGATCTTCTTCACTCTCTTGATGTATTCACCTCTAATCTTTTTCTTGACTTCAGTGTGCTTGATGTTGTCAGCTTGAAGGATACCCAAGTATTTGTAGTACTCTTCCTCATCCAGACTCTTAATGTTATTTTCGTGGGGCATCTTGATTCCTTCAGTTTTCACTATTTTTCCTTGTTTGATAGTAAGTGTGGCACATTTGTCCAAGCCAAACTCCATAACAATATCTTGGCTATATATACGGACAGTGTTGAGCAGCGATTCTATTTCAGATGATGTTTTTCCATACAGCTTCAGATCATCCATGTAAAGGAGATGGGATAGTCTGATAGATGTTTTTGATGTTTGATAGCCATGTCCTGAGTTATTCAGTATTGTTGACAGAGGAAACAGTGCAATAACAAATAGTAATGGTGACAATGAATCTCCTTGAAATATTCCTCTCTTGATATTAACCTCTCCCAGTCTCT